AATGGAAGTTTCTGAGATGATCAACTTTCCCTCCTTTAATTCTTAGCTCACTGATAAACATTAATCTCATCTCTTATGTGAACATGAGTTTGAGTTCACATGATAGGGAATGCCCTGTCCAGATGACTAAAACCTATTAGCTTCCAGGTAATAGCTGACCTCTCACATGTTAATAAAATGACCATCCACTCTATAACTCAGTCTCTTTTGAGTGTGAGTTACTGTGCCTAAATTCTCAGAATCTGATAATCTCTGTGGATAGTGACAAAAGTTGATAGATAGATAGACAGACAGATGATAAAGATAGAGAGATAGATAGATGATAGATAGATAGATAGATAGATAGATAGATAGATAGATGAATGATAGATAGATAGATAGATAGATAGATAGATAGATAGATAGATAGATAGATAGGCAGGTTCTCTAATTTAGCAAAGTTGAAAACTAGCCCTCTAGGTAACAGCCTGCCTTAAAAGGGCTGGCTTCCCGCCGTCTGGACCTATCTGCAGTTACAATGATTTTACAAGGGCTGGTTTGAAACTTGTTACTTTGTAGAACTCTTAATCTCTGACCTGTGTAGTTAAGTGACATTTTGTCACATGGATAGAGAAGTTACTTCATTTTTTCATTTTCAGCATTTACTTTCCATTTGTCTTTGTGCATTACTTTTCCAGAACTGCACTTTCACTTTCTAGGAATGTTAGAAGGGAAAGTTCTGTTGTCTTGAAAATAATAGAGGAAATATATTACCTCTTCTTTCCCTTATATTTTTCTTCCTTTTTTTTTTTTTTTCATAAAATCTCAAAGAGGAAATAGAAAATATTGCAGGAGCATCAGGACAACTTTTATAAAGTGAAATGACAAATACAAAAGATGAGGTAATAATTTAAAAATTATATAAAAATAACAAAGACAAAGGGTTGCTTCATTGTGATTTCCACAAAGCTAAGATGATATAGCCTGGTCTAGGACAAAGAGGTTGCCACGAAGCAACAAAGACACATTCTAACCACTTGAACACATGGATAGTAGCAGAGTGGTTGCATGTTACTCTTCTTGAGGACGATTGGAAGCTTGATTATCTTGGTAGAGCCTGAGTTTTGCATAATGATTGGCACACAGTAAATATTCAGTAATTTTCTCAATTAAATAAAGTAAATAAAACACCAAATTTCATCAACGAAATGCTTTGCAGCAGAGAATAAGGTAAGATCCCTGCATATAAAGGTCGAGTATCTTTCATACCTAATCAACACTTCCAAGAGGGATATCCAGAGGCAGGAAAATGATTTGACAAAGAAGCCTAGTCTTCCTTAAAAGTTGTTCTTAACACCAGGAAGAAAGACCCAGATAGCTCTATCACTAGCTCTAAGTCGGTTTTTTGTTGTTGTTGTTGTTGTTTTTTTTCCAATTACTGTCGACATTCAACATTATTTTATATTAGTTTCAGTTGTATAGGATAGTGATTAGACAATTATATCATTTGTGAAGTGATTCTCCTGATAACCTCCCTGGCATTGTATATTATTATATTATTATTGACTATGTTCCTTGTGCTGTACTTTACATCCCCATGACTATTTTTAACTACTAATTTGTACTTCTTAATCCCTTCACATTTTTCACCCAGCCTCCCTAGCCCCACTCCCATCTGGTAACCATTATTTTGTTCTCTATAACTATGAGTTTGTTTCTGTTTTGTTTATTTCGTTTTTTAGATTCTACATATATGTGCAATCATATGGCATTTGCTTTTCTCTGACTTATTTCACTTAGCATAATACCCTCTAGGTAGATCCATGTTGTCTCATGGTAAGAGTTCATTCTTTTTCATGGCTGAGTAATATTCCATTGTATACCTGTACCACATCTTCTTTATCTAATCGTCTATTGATAGGTACTTAGGTTGTTTCCATATCTTGGCTATTATAAATTAGCACTTCAGTGAATATAGTGGTGTACATATCTTTTTAAATTAGTGTTTTGGATTTCTTCAGATAAATACCCAGAAGTAGAATGGCTTGGTCATAAGGTAGTTCTATTTTTAATTTTTTGAGAAATCTCCAAATCATTTTCCATAATTATAACCTTTATTTTAAAGTCTATTCAATCTAAGTATTGCTACCTCAGCTTTTTTCATTTCCGTTTGCATTAAATATCTTTTTTCATCCCTTTACTTTCGGTCTGTGTGTGGCTTTCGATCTGAATTGAATCTCTTGTAGACAGCATATGTAAGAGTCTTCTTTTCTTATCTATTCAGCTACTCTATCTTTTGATTGGAGCGTTTAATCCATCTATATTTAAAGTAATTATTGATAGGTATATAGTTAATGCCATTTTATTATTCATATTTATGGAGTTTTTTCCTTATTCTTATTGAAGAAGTCCTTTTATATTTCTTGTAATACTGGTTTGGGGGTGATGAACCCCTATAGCTTTTTGTTGCCTGGGAAGCTCTTTATCTCTCTTTCAATTTTAAATAATAGACTTAATCTGTAAAGAACTCTTGATTGTGAGTCCTTGCTTTTCATCACTGAATATTTCATGCCAATCCCTTCTGGCCTGCAAAGTTTCTATCGAGAAATCAGCTGACAGTCTTATGGGAGCTTTCTTGTGGGTAACTAACTGTCTTTCTCTTACTGCTTTTAAGATTCTCTTTTGGTCTTTAATCTTTGTCATTTTAATTATGATGTGTCTTCGTGTGGGCCTCTTTGGATTCATCCTGTTTGAGACTCTCTGTGCTTCTTGGACTTGTATGTCTATTTTCTTCACTGAATTCAAGACGTTTTCAGTCATTATTTCTTCAGATAGGTTCTCAATCCCTCGCTCATTCTCTCTTTTACTTCTGGTATCCTGTGATGCAAATATTGTTACACTTGATGTTTTCCCAGAGGCTCCTTAAACTATTCTCATTTTTTATTTTCTTTTTGCTGTTTCAATTGGATGTTTTCTGCTACCTTGTCTTCTAAATCTCTGACTTGAGCCTCTGCTTCGTCTAATCTGATGTTGATTCCTTCTAGTGTATTCTTCGCTTCAGATATTCTTCATTTCTGACTGGATTTTTATGATCTGTCTTTTTGTTTTTTTTTATGTTTACTCTCTCTTTGTTGACATTCTCACTAAGTTCCTCAAGCAGCCTTATAACCAGTGTTTTGAACTCAGTATCTGGTAGATAGCGTGCCTCCATTTTATTTAGTTCTTTTTCTGGAGCTCTGTTCTGTTTTTTCACTGGGGACATGTTTCTTTGTCTCCCCATTTTGGCTAACTCTCTGTGTTTGTTTCTATGCATTAGGTAGACCTGCTATGTCTCCCAGTCTTGGCAGGGTGGACTTATATAGTAGATGTCCTGTGGGGCCCAGTGGCACAGTCTCCCTCATCACCTGCCCTGGGTGCTCCATGAGTGTCCATTGTGTGGATCATGTGTGCCCTCCCACTGTAGCTGAGTCTTGATTGTTAGCATGTCAGTGGGTAAGATTGACCCTAAAGCTAACTGGCTATGAGTACTGGCCATGACCACAGCTTTTGAACTGCTGTGTGGAGACTGATCCAACAGAAAGGGATTCACTCCAGTGGGCTCATGTCTTCCAAGACCACCCTTTCTGGTGTGCCTCTTCTGGAACTAATCAGGTGGTCCTCTGTTGCAGTCTGAAGCCGACCATGGGTGTGTTGATTCTGGGGCCTCTTGAGCGGGGCTTTGGTGCAGTCCAAGGTCAGCTACTGCTTTTGACCAGCCTGAGGCTACTTGGTAAGAGCTACACAGCGACCCACAGTTGGTAGCTGCCTGAGCTGGGCCTGGAGGCATGTGTGAGAGGCCACATTGCAAATAGAGGCTGGCTGTCACCAGTACAGGGCGTAGGATCACTCAAAAAAAGGCTCAGGGAACCTTGAGGTCTGCCGCTGCATGCAGGCTGCCTGTAAAACTCAGCCACTGAAAGAGCCTCAGGCGATATGTGAGTTGAATGAGGCAAGGTCTCAGGGAGTCACTAGGGTGGAGCAAGTGATGTTCACCAGGCCAATGCAGATTCAAATTTGGCTGAGTCAGGGAGGGCTCAACACAGGAAAAATGGTGCCAGTCCCCCAGCCACGTGAGAGAAGGACTCAGCACAGGGACAACGGTGGTTGTCCCTCCAGTCCTCATCCTAGCACCACACAACTCCACTTCTCCCTGTTTGTAACTGGCACCCCTCAAGCCACTGTCCCTCTGACAGAGCCCAGGGTAAGTACCTGCAAGTGAGTGAATATGTGCACAGGCCTTTTAAAAAGATGCCTGGGTTCCCAGTGACCTTCTAGCTCACCTAGATGGATGAAATCTCTGCTGATTTTCACAGCCAAATGTGTGGAGGCTCCTCTTTCCGGCACTGGCACTCCAGGCTGGAAGCTCAGTGTGGGGCTGGCACCACTTGCTTCTAAGGGGGTACCTCTGCAGCATAGATATTCTTCCTAATTCTCAATCACCACATGCAGGTGTGGGACTGATCTATTCAGCGTCTCTGCCCCTCCTACCATTCTCATGGTGGCTTCTTCTTTATACCCTTAGTTATAGGACTTCTGCTCAGCTAGTCTTCAAATGGTTCTTCAGGTTCTTTGTTCTATAATTGAGTTGTAATTTTGATGTAGTCATGGGAGGAAGTGAGCACAGCATTTACCTACTCCACCATCTTGACCAGAACCCACTCAAAGTTGTTTTTTGTTAAGATGATAAGCATTTCATGAATTAAGATTTCCAATTTCTAATGAATAAATTACATTTCAATTGTAAGAATATAGAAAGAGTTGAAACAAATGACAACTTTCCAAGCCCTTGAAGAGAAAGAAAAGCTTAAAATAGGGAGTACAAAGATCTGGGGAAAATTCAGAAATGAATTCTTGTGCTCAATATTTAAGAGGCACACAGACAGAAGATCTTCAGCTGGAAAAAAAGCTCATAATCTCCCTTCTCAATCAGTAGAAGAGCTTCTTCTTATAACATACCAATGGCTTTTCTAGTCTCTTCACTGATGACATTGGTGGTGATCTTCTCCAGTCCCATCTCTTCCATGATCTGTGACCTGTCTCAGAGCCTGGACTTAGGAAAGCAGGAGACCTCCACAGCTCTGAACCAAATGCAGAGAATCTCCTCTTTCCTCTGTCAGAAGGACAGAAAGGACTTCAGATTCCCCAGGAAGATGGTGGATGGCAGTCAGGTCCAGAAGGCCCAAGCCATTTCTGTCCTCCATGAGATGCTCCAGCAGACCTTTGATGTCTTCGGCACAAAGCAGTCTTCTGCTGCCTGGAACACGACCCTGCTGCATGGGCTCCTCAGTGGACTTCATCGGCAGCTGGAAGACCTGGGCACCTGTTTGGTGCCAGAGATGAAAGAGGTGGAATCTGTCCTGGGAACGGAGGACCCTACATTGGCTATGAAGAGGTACTTCCAGGGCATCCATCTCTACCTCGAAGAGAAGCAATACAGTGATTGTGCCTGGGAGGTTGTCAGAGTGGAAATCAGGAGGTACCTTTTTGTTGTTAACAAGTTCACAAGAAAAGAAATCTGATTCTCAGTGACTAATGTCCTTGCTCGAACTTTTAATTGTTTGGTCGTTTTCAAAACTGTTATTTTTTCCTTCATCTATAAAATAATTTAAATTATATTTGGCACATCTTTATCAGTACTATTAAGCATATCTATGTCCAACTATTTTAGAATTGAAGGAAATGTAACTGGTTTCTTGTAGCTGAACTTCATGTTATAAAATATGTATGTACTTGTATGTATGTATTTATTTATTAATATTAATTTATCTATTTATTTATAGCATTTACATTTATATTTTTTACATAGAATATGATCACATTTTCTTTAAAAAAATTTACTTTTTTACTTATAAATTTATTCTAAGAAATTTCTCTTCTTTAAAAAAATAACTTTTCCCGAAATCCTAATTCTGCAAACTAAATATAGTATGTGGTGAAGTTCGTTTATTCATTAATGGGCTATGGGGATAGAATCTTGAGTATGGAGCTTTCATTAGAGTAAAGAACATAGCCATTAAAGAAGTAGTTATATTGTAATTAGTTATTTACATTTGGGGTCTGGTCTACATTGGAAAAGTAAAAGATGCTATGGCAGTGAGTAACATGGGTAGCTCCTTTAGACTACCATCAATTTTCCTTGGGGAAGTAATACATAGTTTGAGCCTTGAAGGATGAGTAGGAGTTTAAGTATTGGCTGGGGATGGAATTCCCCTGGGATTTAAAAAAAAAAAAAAAAGTACATAGAGAATGTCCCTGTAGCAGGAAAGGGCTTGGTACATTTAAAGAAGTGAAAAAGGCCAGAGTTTACAGACTATACTGATGGAGAGAGAGTAATGTAATGAGCCCGGAGAAATGGAAAAGAGCCCAAGGTAGACTACATTATAGATGTTAGACTTTATCTAAGAGCCAAGGAAAATTAACATTAGAGTTTAAAGCTAGAGAGTGAGTGGCTTGAACAGAGCAGCTACAGGGAAATTCATTAGATCAGCACATCTCAAAGTGCAGTCTGTGGGCTTCTACAGGTCCCCTAAAGACTTTAAAGGGATCCACGAGGTCAAATTATTTTTATAATAATGCCAAGACATTATTTGCCTTTTTAACAACTTAACACATTAACAACTTGCACTGATGGTGTAAAAACTGCTGGTGCCTAAATGTCAATCAAGGCAGTAGCATCAAAATGTACTAGTAATTATTATATTTTTTGACTATAGTATACCTGAAGTAAAAAAAAAAAAAAGCCAGTTTCTCTTAAGAATGCCCTTGATGAAATAGTGATTATTAATGTTATTAAATCTTGACTTTTGAGTAAACATCTTTTTAATATTCTCTGATAGTTCTTTTAATATTGTATGTGATGAGCATTTCTGCTATGTATAAGGAGTGTTTTGAGGAGAAGCACTTATATGATTGAGTTGTGAGCTAAACTAGTCATTCTTTTCACAGAATCCATTTTGACTTGAAAGAATGACAAATAGACAAACTATAGTTATTAAGAGTTGAGCATTTGACAAACATTTTCTCAAGGTATTTGTAAAATGAAACTGTCACTTAAAGGAATATATTGAACTTTCAACAGAAAATTAGAATTTTGGAAAATCTACCATTGTGAACTTGACAACTGCCCAATACTTAAAGAATTTTGTGATGACAACAATGGTGATATTAACAAATGAAATATTCAATTTTATAAATTGAAATATGTATGGATTCGTAAGATCTGAATATCTCAGTGAGCCATTATTTTCCAAATGACCAATGCATATATTACAAAATCACACATGAGTAAAAGAGACCTATTCAAAGGGCAAATCAGATTGATATGTTTTTATGTAACAGAATTTTTAAAGGTCCCTGTTTTAGTTTTAGACTCCATGTTGCAACTAACTAATCCTTAAGAAATTATAACTTATTGAGCTCTGGTTTGATAAATGATGTATTATATAAAAATATTTTCTAGTATCAAATCATTTTTATATTTCTAAGATACTCTTCTTAATCATGATGAATTAGTTTATTTATGTGATTTCAAATTCTGTCACAATGGAAAGCGTATGAAATTGGGAAATATTGATTGGGTTTGAATCATAGTTCTGTTACTTAATAGTTTCTGTAGTCTGTTGCCTTTGCACATAGTAGGTACTCGATAAATGATAGTTATTATTTTCTAAGAACATGTAGTAGAGAATAAAGTATTGTTTAAGAGCTTGATAAGGTTATTGAAAAGATAATACTTCCTATAAAGTGTTTAGCACAGTCCTTGTTGCAGAGATAACATTTAATAAATGTTAGCCTTTATTATTTCCTTATTGTAATTTAGATTTTTTATTGACTTTAGTGAGGCCAGTCTATTTTCAATTCATGTATTTGATAAATCTATGAATTTAACTTGCTGTGTAACTGACTGCTTCTGAAAATTTCAAGAATAAAACTTACAAAATTCCTCATTTTATTTTTTCTCTCTGACAACTGCAATTTATCAGTATGATTTTAATTGGTTTAAAATTAATTTCAGGTGTGATCTGAGCATACAACTTATAATATTTTTGCTCTGGAGGAATTTTTGATATTTACTTAGTAGTCTAATATATGATGATTTTTGTGAATGATTTATAAATATTTAAAAGAAGTTATATTTCCTACTCGAGGTTATAGTGCCCCAGAGTCTTAGCCACTAGTTTACTCTTTGAAATCCTATTTTCCAATTCTTCTTGTCCTTATTTTCTATGTTATTTTATAGAATAATAGCATTGTGCTAAAATTTCAATGCTACAATCATGTTTCTGTTCACTTTTCTTTATACTGGTAATTTCTTTTGCTTAATGTCTTATACTACTTGAATGTTAGCTCCATGCCTTTTATAATTTTATTGTAGATTGTACTTGTTTCTTATGTATATTTACCCTCTTTCTCAAATTTAACACATTTTCATTGAATCCTCATAAATATCAGTATTGATATTAATCATTGTAAATATTTCATTGATGTTAATATTGCCACCTCTAATTACTTTCCTTCACTGTATCTTCTTGCTCTGTCTTTGCCTATATATTTTTTTACTGTTTTAGTAGTAAGGAAGTATTTAGTATTATTTGATTGTAGGCTTTTCTCCCTATACAAAGAAATAATGGGATTTGTGTTTAAAGCCTATCAAGAGTTTTTTCTTTCAATAGGTAAGTTTAAGCAATTTATGTTTCTTATCTAAACCATTATGTTTTTAGGTCTCAAATTTATTGATTTATCTTTTACTTTTTGTATTACTTTTGTTTTTGACACTTTTCATACTCCCTCCAACTTCCCAATTGTCATTAATTTAAAAACTATATTTTAAAAAGCAACTTGAATTTTCTCTTAATTTTTGAATGAAAATCATATGATGCTTTAAAAATAATTTTTTAACTAATTTTAACTGATTTTACTATTCACTGCCAGTTCTTATTGGGACTGTTGCTTTTAGTCAGCATAGTAAGTATGCATAAGAGACATAATATAAATAGATATGCATATGAATTTATGTTAATATATAAACAGATGAAAATGTCTAAAAAGTTAGTGACTCCTTTTTGTAGAAAATAAAAATATTAATTCTGAGTGCTCTTAGAATGGCAGTAAGTCCGATGTAGTATACTAAATCAGTGCCACATATTCCAAATCTAAATATCAGAAATTTTTAGGAGTCATGTGGTCAATAATTAACTTGAATTAAACAATTCTCATTTTAAGATAAAGTATATGACTATAAAGCAATGAGTTTGATATTCTTGTCTAGCTTGTAAACTGACTCTGAAGACAATTCTCATCCTGGAATACAAAACCTTTTTGAAGGATGATAATTCTGTTGCCATCATTAGTCAGGATAGCTTCCAATATGTTTTCCAAGACTTATATTGAAAATGTAACAAGGTACACTTACATTTAGGAAAACAACTGAAAGATCTACGTGTCATGTAGACTATCTCTTTTTGATACCCTTCCCCTCCAAAAAAACCTTTAACCAAGAAGGCAGATAAAACAAATCTGAGCAGCAGGGGTTACTTCATCATGCCATGCTCTCCATCTGCTACTGTAGGCCTTTAATAGCCTTTAGTTGGCGATTCATTATTCAATGATGAACTGGATCAAACTAAAACAATGAAAGAATAAATATTTTAAGCAACATTCTTTCTCTGTACTCCAGGCCCTCATCTTTGGATTCTTGTCCTGGCTGGTGAGTGATGCATGCCTGCCTTAACCAAAGGTATGTAAACTCTGTGTTATACTGCCATCTACTGGATATAAGTCAAGTACTGGCTTAGAGGCTGGGTATATGATCTCCCTTCCATAACTTCTAGCTGGGATGAAGGCAAGAAAATAGAAATAAAAGAAACAATATTTTGATGTCCTGCCTCTTTTAAAACAAAGAAGCAAATATATAAGTGGAACAAAAAAATTTCTAATTCATAATAGCGATTCTAGTAGTATGAAATTTATGTTTTCAGATCTACATATTTATTCATCTTCTTACCCAAAGTAAATTTACACATATAATTGCCATATTTGTATAAAGAGCCTGATTTAAACCAGAAAGAGACATTTATATTCAATTAACACATTGTTTGTAAATATTGTTGTTATCCCTGGACTGACTTACATTGTATCAAGCATCACACTGAGACAATTAATCAAGTTTTAATAATCGAACCTTGGGATGAAGGGGCTAAGCTTTTGGTTTCTGTTTTCTCCGAGGATCCTTGAGTTCTGATATTTGCTCACCCATCTTCCCCATCAATAACCTTCAAGAACATATCAATTTCTTTAATAGAACTCATTTACTGAAAGCATATTCTCATTGGACATCTTCTCTAAGTAGAATCACACGAACTATGTCATGATCACATGACAATGAACACTGCCTGTGTGGGCTAAAGTGATAAGGAAAATTGGCAAGGTTGGGAGTGGCAGCCAGAGTGCTTACAGTTAGGGTAGATAGCAAGGGACCAAGCACCAAAGTTTTTAGAGTTAGAAGAAAATTCACTGTGTA